AGTGCATGTGGTCTGTCCACAACTGTCAATGTTTGCATAGTGCCACATCCTTGCATTCCAGTTAATTTCCTCCTTAGGACATCATAGCTAGGTACAGAAAGTTGCAATAATCTTTTTTATGAGTGACTGAATCTAACAAATAGTTCAACAAAACCGTCCGTCTTTGGGGTTCTCTTACTGCACTGATCATAAAAACTATCATTTGAACTCAGTAAAAAGCGTTTTGAAAAGTTAATTCTCTCAGCTGAAACACCAAAGCCATGGAGGACCTTACTGAAATATGGATCATTTGAATAGCTGTATATTGCAATTATAATAAGTACTACAGGAGAGAATAACCATCTTCAAAGGTGTAATCTGGAAATTGAACAGATGCCCATTCACTAAATGTAGCACAGTAAAAGGAAAACAAAGGTTGAAGGAAGCAGGTTATTCAGATTAATTGTCCAGGAGTCTTAGAAAAATAAAATAAACTAGCAAAAAGCTTTATACATTTGTCAGCTGTCCCATTGTGGCCCAGACAGCCTGGTCCCAGTCCCTGCAGTAAGTCATGTTACATATATAGGGAAGGGTTGGCCAAAGTCTCCTTTCACCCCAAGATCATAGTCTCAAGGCAGAGGAGGAAAAAGGAAGGATGGGTACATGTTGTGGTGGCATGGGTAACCTGGAGACATGACACTGGGAGTGCGGGGCGGGATGGGGGTGGGGTGGGGAGGAGGAGATAAGGGGTCAAACTGACTGCCAGGAAACAGACACATGGGAGGGAGAGTCTGAAGGCCCCCTAATGGGGGAGGGGGAATTCCCCACTGAAGACACCAGGGTGGGGAAACAAATATGCTTCTTTCCCAGAACATTTGAGAAAGGAGGTAACAGGTCCACACAAAGCAGATGCAGGTGAGGGGAGCCTGTTGAGGACAGGAGGTTGTCTGAGGGCAGGGGTGCTCAAGGCCTCAATAGGTCTGGATAAGCATCCACACTTTGAAGGCTTATCTGAACCCTGAACATTAAGGCCCTGATAAATAAGACATTAATATTAAAAATAGCTTAACACTCAACAGGAGGGTGCACGTAACAACCCTTGGGATTCCTACAGTTGCCTACAGGGGCTTATTGATACTTTTCCACAGCATGACATCATGCCAATTGAGGGTCTTTGCTACAGAAAATAAGAAGGAGCATTTTTATTAGAATCTAATGGCATGACATTGATTGGAAAAGGCCAATGCATAATTATATAACTCATTGAATTCTACTTTGAGCATCAGCTGTTCCCTGAAAGCACTCCATTTCAACATCTCAGCAAGAGAAAATACATTCTTTGTTCTCAAGATCAGCTCCCCAGGAATTCAAACTACAGTATTACATATTCTGCAGGAAAGATTAAAAAAAAATAGCATCCCCAGCTGCTCTGCACCATCAGGGGCTGAGAGCAAGTCACTAGCCAATTATTTTCAAAATTCCAGGCTTGCTGTGTATGCACTTCACCTCAGCCTCCCAGGAATATACTGCACATAGTGGCAAGGAAGTGCACAGCCAAAACTGGTGAGCAATTTGATGCACGGCAGGATGGCAAGATGAACAAAGCACCCAAAATGCTGCTGTTTGAATAGGATTTATTTGACATTGCAAAAAGATGTACAAGAGCTCAGACTGAAAAGGCACCTTAAAGAAGGCAGCTGGGAATGATTATGTAGCAGTGAGCTGGCACATGCAAAGCACGGTGAGATCTGATAAAGATGAGCAATATAAGAAGTGTGAACTGCAAAAAACAAGTAATCATGGGACACTTAGTAAAATGAGAGATGTCAGGAAGGCTTCAAGAATGGATACAATCACAATTTTCCAGCATTTTAGCTGGAAAGCAGCAATTAGAACAGCAAAAGGCACAGTAGACATGTCAGACATATTGCAGAGAAATGAAAGAGAATCTATGGCTCTGAGGAGGAAAATGCTCTAAAGGGCAAGTGCCGGAGAAGATGAATTCCCCAGCCTACCTTCAAAAATTCAGTGTTGCCAAACCTAGTTCCTCTGTTAAAATAATGGCTCCATTGTGACATCGGAGCCAACACCAGCACTTTGTATTTGGTTTTCTTTTCTTTGCGTAGATGCTGTGATCAATAATTCAGATGAAGTTGCCGTGCTTTAATTAGCACTGTTTAATAAAGAGCACACATTTTTTATAACTCCATGTACACTTCAGGTAATAGAAAACTCACTCTGCCCCACTGAAGACCTACATACAGTTACTGTTCTAGAATATAACTTTCCCTGTATTACTCTGAAGATCCTGTGACAGAGGGCTCCACTCACTGCTAGAATGGCACTTCCTCCTGGCCATTCTGGGGAATAGCTCACCAGGTCAACACCCCTGCCTGCAATTACACACCGTCTCTCTCTCTGGGTCTGCAGCCTCTCTCTTGTTCCCTGAGCTGCTGCTGCCTCTTTGTGACTCAGACCTCCAGCCAGGTCACTCTAAGCATTTTCCCCTTTCTCGGTATCAACATTCTTTTTTATTGCCAGCAGTCCTAGGCAGTTATACCATTGACTGACTTGTAGTGCCACTCCCTCAGTGGCTACCAAGGGAACCCAGGCCTGCCCTCTATTCCAAGTTGTGGCTCAGGGATCCTCTAGCCAGCAGCCAAGTTTTGTTCCCTTCTAGACCTTACTGCCTTTTCCTGAGCCCTATTCTACCTTCCTGGCTTTCCCCCCTCTCTAGGTTTGCTAGAGCCAAAGGCACTTTATAGAAGCCCTGCCTGCTCCTGCACAGGTGAGCTTTCCCTAAATTAGGGTTTTCCTCTCAGCCTTCAGCCTAATAGGTTAATTGGCCCATCAGGCCTTCATTAACCCCTTCAGGGCCAGTGTGGGCGAACACCCCATCACAGATCCCATTGTAAATTTTGGCTGTTGTAAAAACATTTCACCCATGCTCTTCCGACTGAACTAGATACCTTCAGTTAGAAGACGCCAAACTTACCAGTGTTTTGAATATCCACCCCCTCTAAGCTTATGCTGTCTGAAGTATCACCGCTAGCAGAGACTGCATGCTTTCCTCCCACAATCCCCAGAAGTATCAGCCATGACCCACAATAATGAACTCCAGGTTTCAAACTTGGTACCTGATAGACACCCCAAGATGCCATTCTAAAATAGTTCTCTACAGATACAATAGAAAAAGCAACCCATGCTGTCATAACATACAGTAAAGGTTTTGAACCAGCAATGTACAAATTAACCATGTCTGACTAATGTTCTCTCGGGACAATCTTTAATTTAAGATGATTTCAATGCATCACCAAAACAGACCTTTCAGTCCCAAAAATAAGATGTCTCCATTTTGAGGAAATATTAGTGTTAGGAAGAGTGGCTTTACGATTAAGGCACTCAGGAGATCCGGCTTCAACTCCCAACCCTGCCACAGACATCCTGCATTACCTTGACTAAATCGCATAATTTCTGGGTTTCGGTTCTCAATTTGTAAACTGAGACTACTACTACTTTCCTTTCTCTACCCTTGATCTGTCTTGTTTGTTTAGATTATAAACTCATTATGGTTAGCATTGTCGATTACTATGTGTTTTTACAACACCTAGAAAAATCAGGCCCCAATCTCTTAATACCAAATAAATAAGGAAGAAGGAAAAGAACAGTGCAACCCAGATATTGAAAAAATCTTTTGTATTGCTTTTGGTTATGCTTGGTGATTGCCCTACCCCATCTACTATTTCTCTCCTAATATCTAGTGCTCAACGTTGGTCTCCATAATGGAACAGTGATGCAGGCATGTTGTGCTTTATTTTCTAAATCTTTGTCTTATCCTTATAGTACATCGAAGTAGCAGTTCCAGCTTTCTAGTACCATTTGAATGATTATAGTATAAAGCTACTGTAAAGAAGTAACCACTCCTCACAAACAATAACTTATTCTTGGGGGCACATGGTCTGCCAATAGCCTGTGAAGCACAAAACTAAGTAAGAAAAGTGAACGCAGCCAATCCCCCCATGCTCCAAATCTGTGCACAATTTTAATGAGGTTTTTGTTAGAACAGGCAGTTATCAAAGATTCATTAAAGATGAGGACATCCTAGCACAGCCACTAATTAGTCTAACTCCCCAAGATGTGTTGTTTGTGAAGACTGAGACTTGCCAAGGAGTTCTCAGTTGAAATGTTTGCTGTATTCCACTCCTATCTTGTAACATTCAAGCTCTGGATATGAATTTAAGCACATAGTCTCTCGTCATAGGAGTTGCAACTGTCTTACCTTTATCAAGATGGAGATAATATAGCAGCTAAAAAGGGATGCATTGTCATGTTGTTGGTGTGGAACAATTTTAATGGATACCAATGAATTTACAGTATATTATGTTTCCATATTTTTGGATCATTTTGTAGTCACTTAGCTGATTCAGTACCTCAGTACACCCTCAACACCTAAATGGCTTAAGTTACAAAAACAAAGATGCTGGAGGACTGGTTAAAGTCAGAGGGACAATCTGGCCTTTTATTTGGAGAAAATTATCAAGGATCTTTTTCTTGATGAAAAAGTATTTTGAAATCTGTATTATAAATTTCTTTCTATGCTGGGAATTGGTACTCAGTGAAGTCAAACAGCAACTGGCATATTGTATTTGAGATAACATTTTTTAAAATAATTTTTCTTTTAATTTGCTAATGCTTTTTGTTCATGCAGTCAATTCCAATTTACGCATGCATTCTTTAATTTCACTCTGCAAATTCTGTTAAATATGGCATGTATGGATGTCACTCAATCTTCACAAAAACACATCGAAGTTCATGATGAAGGATTTTAAAATGACTGACAGGCTCGGTCAGGGTTCTTTGTACTATTCATTTCTTAAAGGCAGGATACATTTTAGTATTGAGGAGGCAGATTTTGACTTAAATGTGAAATATAAAAATGTGTCTTTGGACATGTATCTTTGAAACTACATTTTTACAAAGCCTAACAACATGAGAAATTAATTTACTTTTAACTATTTCAGATCTAAACACTAGTGGAGATTTCAGAACTCGGGGAGATTTTCAAAAGGCACAGGTTAGTACCTATCCACCATTGGCTTTCAATGAGAGTTGGAGTTAAGCATTTATCCTTTCTCCGTGCCTTCAAGCCCTCCCTCCTCCTCAAAACCAGATCAAACAGTTCAAAGATCATGCATAGATCTCAGTAGTTGAGGTTCACCTGAGTCTACTAAAAACACCAACAGAACTTGGATTTGATTCTTTTTTGAACTCCTTATCTATTGTATTTCACATACATTCAAGCCTATCTTAAACTTCAGTCTCATTATAAGCACATAGACACAATTCTACGGCTAAGTAAGGGCCACAGAGCAGAAAACAAATGTGTTTGTGTTGAGCAAGGAACAGGCAGGGATGCAAACAACTGATCCAAGCCTGCAGATCCTCATGTGCTGCGGAACACTGATATACAGGGTCTACATCTGCTCTAAAGTGGAAGGGATCACTTTATATATGAGGCCAGAGCCACGGAGCCCCTGCTTACAGTTGCAATTATGGAGCACTTTGTGGCAAAGGAACCCCTGCAGAACTCCCCTGTGCAAAATCTTTTTACTTGAGCGTTGCACATGAGGAAGTAGGGGGACATAGAATTTCAGCTATGTGCCTTTGTTTCCTGTTGATCATACTCAAAAACTGTACTAATAGTACACTGCAGCACATTTCCGCGGCAACACAGGCTACTGGATGCACAGTAAACTTGTCTTCCACATTTGGCACTGACTATCAAGTAAGTTAGTTCAAGGTTTTGGTCCTTATCTTGAAAACACTTAATGGCATGGGCACAAAACACTTAAAAGATGACCTAAAACTCCATGATAAAGACTATGGTCAACAACTCCACTCCTTAGGAACAGTGAAAGTCTCTATAATAAGAGTAAAACTTTTCTGATCGGAGACAGACCTTTCCTGGGTGCCAGCCCAAGACTGGAACAAACTCCCACAGGAACTAAGGACCATCACAAACCTCAACACCTTCTGCTCCAAGTGCAAGAAACACTTCTTCAACCTGACTTCACTTTGCTAACAAACTTAGAACAGCATGTTCATTTAACAGACAAAAAGCCACATTAAACAACACATACAGTTCTCCTCCTAGAGAGAGGACAAAAGAGAGAGGACAAACCACATGTGACAGATGTTTGTCATCACTTTATGTGCTACTGAAAGGCATGCAGGCACTATCATGATGTAGCTGGTAAAAGAACCTATATAAAATAGAGTAGCTGGGTGAGCAGTGAGGGAAGTTATTCACAAACATTTCTCCAACTTCAGTTTGACAAACCATAACATGGCCCAGATTTTTACAGGTATTTTGGCACTGCTGCACTCAGCAACCTAACTTGGTTAGAAGCCTTAGTGTCATTTCAAAAAGGGACTTAGACACTTAGGAACCAAAATCCCATAGACAGCTAAAAGAGAATTAGGCTTCTAAGTGCCTTTTGAAAATGACACTTAGGCATTGCAACACTGAGCATGGCAGTTCCTAAATGCCTTTAAAAATCAGGGCCCATGCCTGCACCCATTCTTATTCAGCATTTACAGATATTCATACAAGCAAAGTTCTGGCTGTATGAATGCTCATAGTAAGAGTTTCACACCCAGAGCTAAGACTCAATCATAAAATAAAAAATCATTTTGGGTGGAAGCATAAAGTATTTTATAAAGGTCATGCCATCCAATTAGGAAACAGGAATAATTACATGAGATTTAAGCGACCAATCACAGAGCTCAAATATTGGAACACTTGAATTTACATGTGCTGCAGACAGTCCAGGAACAATCTATACGCAGACATTTGTTCTCCCAGAATATTCATTGAACAATTCTGAATAGAAAATAAATTTATAAAAAATCAGTCTGTGGACATTCACAAACAGGAAAAAGGACTATGTTTCCTTCCATAGGTGCTGGAACGGAGGGATGCGACAGTTTGAAGTGATTCCCATCATATACAGGGTATATAGTTTTGTTCAATGGTTTTCAGTATCCCCTGTATAAAAATTGTTTCAGCACCTATGTTTCCCTGAATACATTTTTTGATGTGGACTGTTTGCTTAGTTTTTGTTACTAATTAACGTGTGTGTGTGTCTCTGTGTGTGTGTGTCTGTGTAAAACCATAAGTCATTTAACATTTTCTATAGATCAAATATTTTTTATTAAAACCTATACTAATTTAGGGCGGTCATCCTACCCACTCCATCACCATGTGCGTCCTTCCTAATGTGAGGCAGAATGTCAGCCCCTAGCTTCAGGGGATCACAGGGATTGGTCCCTTATCACTCCCCGAGGGGTGAACGGTATCTCAGAGAAGGCTGGGAGGGGCAGAGACTGGGTGGAGCCACAGTGCTGGCTGCCTAGGAGGGTGTATGCTGTACCCCTTATAGAGGTTTAGCAATGTACCCATTCCCCCTGCACAGTGGGGATCCCATAGAGGCAGAAAGGCCGCTGGTACTTCTCCATGGGTGAAAGGACTCCACACCACCCCTACATACAGGGCTGTGCCTAACTAGCAATTTGTAGGATTTAATCAACAGATCCAATAAGACGGTTTTATTGTATTAACCTAGACATTGATCAAACAAGTACATCTGTTTCCAAAGATAATACGAAGCAATAAGAGAATAGACAGCCCATCTCCCTAAGATTCAGGTGATAAGCCCACTAATAAAAACTTCTCTTTCACAAATGAATCATTTACTGCAGACTGCTGGAGATGCAGAAAATCAGGATGACCAATATGAAAATGAAATTAATCCAAACAAGACAGAGGAACAGCAATCTATCCTGGGTGAGCTCTGATTAATGGGACTGATGAACTAGTTAGCAGTATTTAGGAAATGATAGAGGGCAGCAGGAAAAGAAAATGAATTTATATTTCAGACATAATACTCAGGCCAAATCTACACTAGCAAAGGTTTGCCAATTTAGCTACACTGGCAAACCCTCATAGTATAGACACACCTTATACAAACAAACACACTCCTTTGCCAGTACAACTGCATCTACCCTAGGGCTTATAGTGGTATAAAAATGTCAATAAAAAAAACACACCCTGAAGGGACATTACTATACTTGCAGAAGTTTTAAGTATAGAAGTGGCCTTAGAAGGTCAGGAGCCCTTTACATGAAAATAATGATGTGTTTGATATAAAGACCGTAAATATTTTTTCAGAGCTGTGTAAAGGAGTGTTAGGATTAAAACAGAATTAAGAAATGTTGAGAGGAACACTGATGGTGATTTAAAAGAATTAACATGATGAATAAAAACTGCCAAGAGCAAACTAACTACTCTACTGTTAATCTTCACAAAAATAAGCATTTACATGGGTATGGCTCAAATGAGTCAGGCAAGCGGGATTCAACTTTACAGGTATGCCTACACTGCGAATGCTACAGCCACACAACCGCAGTGTTGCCACTTTAGCACTACAGTGTAGACACTTGCTATAGCCACAGAAGGGTTTTGTCCATTGCTATAGTAAACCCACCCCCCACAGAGGCAGTAGCTAGGTTGATGGAAGAATTTTTCTGTTGACTTAATGGTGTCTACACCTGGGTTGAGCTTGGCTAAACTGCGTCTGTCACACCCCTGAGAGACACAGCTAGGTCAACCCAAGTTTTAGGTGTAAACAAGGACTATATCAGTAGATATTGCTCTCTTCCTTGTACTGTTGATGTCTGTATCCGTAGCTTACAATATAATGTACAATATCAACAACAGACCTTTTTCTCACCAGAAGTGCAAGGATACAGATGAGAGGAAGTATGTGCTAGTGTAGTAACCACTGGAAGAAACTTCCAGCGCGACTTTGGGCAAGTCCCCGAGGCCCAGATTTTTAAAAGGTACTGATTTAGGAGTCTAATGCATTTTCAGAAGGGATTTAGGCTCCTAAGTGCCTGAATCCCTTTTGAAAATAGGGGTAGGCACTGGTGTAGTTTGACTTCTATATTTCAGGGGGGCAGCTCCAGTAAGGCCAACAGTGCACAGCATGGGGGGAGCAAATTCCATGCCTGCCTAAGGCTTGCAGTTTTTTGGGGGGGGGACATCCCCTCAAGCTTCCCCAAACTACACCCAGGGTTAGGCTTCTAAATCAGTTAGGCATTGTGGAGCTGAGTGCCATAATGCCTAAATACCTTTAAAAATCTGGGCCTTAACCTCTGTGCCTCAGTTCTTCATCTATAAAAAAAGAGATAACAAAACATCTCTATCTCAGAGGTATGTTGTGAGCATAAATACATTAAAGAAGTACTCTCAGGTGAAATCCTGGCCCCATTGAAGTCAGTGGGAAAACTCCCAATAATTTCAGTGGAGCAAGGATTTTACCCATCATCTTTATTGTTGTTTTGCATATTAAGCTCACCCTCTGTTAAAGATAAACCATGGTTAATAATTATAATGCATCATATTATATTACAATCACTATGGTACATTACACTAAGTGGATGGAGCACATTGTAGATAGCCTATGGTATACAACTCTGTTTAAAAATAATCCATTACAGGGCCAGAATCTGCCACCCTTACTCTGCAAACCACCTCACTGAAGCCAGGGGAATATCCCTGGAGTAAGTTCTGCTCAGCATAGGCAACAGTGGCAAGAGCTGGCCCTGAATTACAGCAAGATAAAAAGACAGGGCACATTTTCGATACACTAGAATACTGAGCTCACTATCAGCTTGTTTCTTATATTCCACATCCCCTTTCTGGTGAATCTGAGGAAGTCTAGTTGGTATGCTGGTAATTCGGCATGTGTTACTGTCCTGTGCCAGTTCTTCAGAAGATAGCCACCACTGTGGGAAAATTAGCAGATGATAATTTCTGAAACTATTATTAATATTTATATGTACCAAGTAAGCATTGCTCTATGCAGAACAGAATGAGGGAAATTCTCTCCTTGCACCCAGCCAGAATAATTGTACGGGGCACTGGGCATCTTAACTGGACTGGGAGGGAAGATAGAATTACTTCCTCAATACATCCCAGGCTGTAGATTGTGAGAAGAACCACTCCATGAA